CCTGAGAGCCCGGCGCCCTCCGCGCCTGCGGACATCAGGGAGCGCGCGCGGGCCGGGGGAGACCCTGCGGTAGAGGTAAAACGGAAACGCGCCCGTACCCCCACACCCCCCCCGGCTCCTCCGACGTGCGGTTCGGAGCTGCCCGTGACCTTTCTCACGATGCGGTAGCTCCGTGCTGTGAGGAGGTGGCTCAAGAGGTACGAAACTCGCTTTGTGGAGTGATGATGTGTCACTCGGTCAGCATGGAAGTCGGCCTCACGCCTCTGTGGTGTACCGGAGACAGGCTGCCGGTGCTCTCTGTGGCTAGGAGTCCTGGGGAATTTCATAACACAGAAGCTTGAAATGGAAATTTTACCTTGGCAAATACGACTTTATTGACCGTAGTTTATGCAATTTATGTATCCTCTGCAGTATGGGTTAAGCATTTGGTTGTACTCATAAAGGTGTACAGTCTGCTGTAAGGCTTCTCCCTTAATGATATTTATTGTACATAAGGTTCTACCTTAGTATAGGTTCTCTGTAGTAAATTCTGCTGTGGGGTTTTTTTTTGACAGTGTTTAGTTTATATTGGTTAATTCGTGAGTGATAATTTTGGTTTCTTGACATTATGCTGCATGTGACATGAAGGAAGCTGTATATAGCTGAGCTTTTTTCCTGCTTTTTGAAGCAGATAATAAAAATAAATGTTACTTAGCAACAAGTGAATGAATCCCCTTTTAAACCATTAAATAGACAATTAAAACATCTGTTTTTAAAAAGCAGAACAGAAACCTGTGATTTGTGAAAAGTTATGTGGGATACAGCAAAAAGCTAAACCTGATTTAAAAAAAAAAAAAAAAAAAAAAAAAAAAAAAAAAAGAATTTAATACGTATCTTAACAGCAAGACCAGTGTTCTATTAAGTTGTGGTCCCGAAAGAAAGGGGATTAAGTCTTCTGTAAAGCAGTAGTAATTGAGTTGTTGAAAGTAAAAGTGTAGGGGTTTGGGGTTTTTTTCCCCCCTTTCAAGTGGTTGAGTACTCCATTAAAAATTTATTTTGAAAACTGCTCTCTAGTTGAGTAGGCCAGAAAGTTTTGTGGCTTTAGAAGATTTGTTAATTGGCTAGTTAAACTCTTTAAATTATTTTTTTTTCCTCTATTCAGTGTTGTTTCCTTTCCTTTCTAGATGCCATACCAAGTGCAGATCAGATTCGTATAACAACATCCTTGAAAAGCCAAAGAGGGTCGGTGTGGACAAAAACCAAGTCAATATTTGAATATTGGGAAGTTGAAGTGACCTTCCGAGTTACAGGAAGAGGCCGCATTGGAGCTGATGGATTGGTATTAAGAATTTTATCTAACTGAAAACAAATAGACAGGCTTTAAAAAAGTGAGTCTTCGCTTACCACTCTTACTTGCTTTCTGTCCTAGGCAATCTGGTTTACAGAAGAGCAAGGCTTGGAAGGTCCTGTTTTTGGGGCAGCTGATAAATGGAACGGTGTTGGAATTTTCTTTGATTCCTTTGACAACGATGGAAAGGTTAGTTGAAAGCAAACTCTTCTAGAAAATATTATAAATTAATTCCCTGCCTGTTTTGTACATATAACTTCAGAAAAAAAAAAAAGTTATTTTCCTACTCTCACCCCTTCACTTCAAAGGGATAAATTAAAATAGTTAAGTTTCCCTTATATAAATTTTACTGCTTTTTCCCACTTCTTTTTTTTTTAAGCTTGAGAGTTGAACATTAACATGTAATGAATCTCCACTGAATATTGGTTCAAGTGTTAGGTTTGAAGAGAGAATACCATGTACATACGTACAAGCTGAAATTTGGAATGCCCATGCACAGTTTGAAATGTTGATATGTCTGAAGATGGGTGATTTTGGAAGAGCCATGTTGTACCAAAATATGACACTCTGGAAACACAAATTTCTATGTCTGTCTTCAGAGATGCTCTTTTTCTTGGAACAAATCTGCCTTTAGTTCAGCAAAAATTCTGTAGCAGATGGAGGTGACAGTTGCTGTTTTGAATTTCCAGTTTTTCAGTCCAGAATGATCCTGGGAAACTTTAATAATACATAGTAGGTTGGCTTTGCTTTTTTGGCTTTTCCTGCACTTGCTTTTAGATGTTTTAGATATATTTATGTAGGTGTAAAAGCTTTTTTCCTACAGATGGCTTTTGGTCTTTTCTGATCTTCAAAGACAAGACATAAGAGTGTTGCTCAACTTACTAACAATTTTTAAGTCTTTTTTTTTTTTTCCTTGTTTTTCTGACTTATGACATGAATATGAATATGGACACCAGTGTAGTTTAGCTGGCTGAAGATGCCATTTACCAAAAGTTGCATATAGAACAACACTGTTTGCCAGAACTTTGATAGCACTGGGATGCTGATCATAAGTTTAGTCAGTGTGGTGTGAAACCCTTTTTTAGAAAGTGATGATGTGTCACTTCTAGTCAAAACAAAAGTCTTCCTCATGCCTGTATTGGTCTGATGCATCTTAAAATACTGGAGTTTGTAAGACATTTTCTAATGACAACCTGTTACCTTCCTCAGTCTCAGTATGGAGAAATTCTTGCTGTTTCAGTGTGTTGGTGCTGTAACTGATCCTCCGCCTAGTATGTTGGCATCCAGAAGTAGACTCCATCTAGTACTGCCAACTCAAAGCACCCTGCATATGGTGCTGGTTTAAAAACTGCAAAGCCTTTTTTCTCTTCCTTCCAAGGTTCTAGGCTATACTAGAGTTGAATTTTTATTTCTCTTTAGAAGTAGTGACAAGAGCTTTTTAAAAAGAGAAACACAATTTCATAGCTCTGAACACCTGAAGTTGAGAACCACACTGACTGTCACAAGAATTTATAGCTCATCTTTACTGTGACCTTTGGAGGCAAAACCCAGAAGTTACTTGGCACTTTGGATTCTCTGCTACTTTTGAAGTTCTTGTATGTGCTTGTGTCCAGACGTGGACACAGAAATTGCAGCCCATCAGAAATTGGGCCGCCCATCAACCGTTAGCATTGGATACTTTTGTTAGTACCTGTCTGCTGTACTCTAAAGTAGATTAGACATGGTTTGCATTCATGAATGATTTGAAGTGGAACTGTTTGCACACACTTTGTGCAGAATATATGCAAGTGTGCTTTGAAATATTTCACTATTACTGCTGTTAAACTGAAATAAGTAGTAAGAAGGTGACACTGAAGTATTCTCGTGGTACTGAGGAGGTAATACTGATGTTGAAACAATTAAACTAACCAAATCCCATACTGAGAAGTGGAAACACTGGTGTATTTCTATATACCAGCTTACCATTCTGTTGTTGTCACAATCTGTGATGAAGGAAAAGAAACATAGTTTGGCTGTAGTGTTTCTCTGAAGGCAAAGGACCACCCTACCCCACCACTGTAAATTGAGAAGGACATTATTTGTTGAATTTTTGAAGTATGAGTCTTGTTTTCTTAAGTGCTGGCAATCTGTCTAGTGGGTCAGTGTATTCCTTTATGTCATGGTTTAACCCTGGTAGGCAGCTAAGCACCACACAGCTGCTTCCTCACTGCCCCCTAATAGCATGGGGGAGAAAATCAGAAGGGTAAATTAGAAAAATTGTGGGTTGAGATAAGGACAGTTTAATAAGTAAAGCAAAAGCTGCATACTCAAGTAAAACAAAACAGAGAATTAATTCACTGCATCCCATTGCCAGGCAGGTAGGTGTTCAGCTGTCTCCAGGTCAGCAGGGCTTCATCATTCATAACAGTGACTTGGGAAGACAAATGCCGTCATTCTGAATGTCCCCCTCCTTCCTCCCCTCCCAGCTGCTATTGCTGAACGTGACACCATATGATCTGGGATATCCCTTGGTCAGTCAGGGTCAGCTGTCCCGGCTGTGTCCCCTCACAACTCCTTGTGGACCAAAACAGTCACTGTGTTACCCACACTGTTTTCATCATAAATCCAAAACAAAACCCCCTAAAATGTACTGTGAAGAAATCTAACTCAGTCCTAGCCAAAACCAGTACACTTTAGATGATGAATTGAAATGTTGAGGGGCGTAATTCTGAAATCTTGTGCTGTTGTAAAAGCTGGAGTTTGCTTCATAAACTCCTGGAGGCAACTAGAGTAGCACTGTAAATCTGTTCTGCCATTATCATTTTAGCTTGTTCTCATCCTCTAGCAATTTAAATAACTGGGGGTGTGTTTAACAGACTTTGTTTAGTCTCTGGCAGATAGCTCCTGAGGCTTTTCCAATGACTGTGATAAGGTCATAAGGCAGCATAGTGTCTGGATGTTTTTCCCAGTGTTACGTGGCCAAAGATGGATGTATTAAGTCATGTATTAGTTTGAAGATCTGTATCTTCACTATGTATACATTTCTTCTATCTGCGAGTAATTGGTTATGTTAATTGGTAATTACGGTAATTGGTAGTATATCCAAGAACTTAATTTGTGTGGGTTTTTTCACCCTAACTATGCAAAGAATGTGGCAGCCTGTTGCAAAACATTCAGCACAACACAGTGCTACTCGGTCATTTTGCTTATGTAGTCCTGAAGTGCAGAAAAAATAAAAACATCTGTGGTGTATCTGTAGTGTAGTGACTTCAGGTGCTTTATCACAGAAGGGCTATCAGTGATGTTACTTATGCTTCATTTTCAATTAAACTATCCCGTTTGTTTGTGATTTCTTTTTCTAGAAAAACAATCCTGGAGTGATTGTGGTAGGCAACAACGGAAAACTTCTGTATGACCATCAGAAGTAAGTTTATTTTCAGTGTTACTGATGAATGTTTGCTTTTGAATGATGTGTTACGTGAAACTCTTTAAGAAACATTATAAAGGTTTATTTCATATGAAGCTTTCTTGTTTCCTTTATGTTTGAGTTTTTCTATCTGTTAAAACACTGCTTTGGCAGTATCAGCACAGAAATTGCTAACTGATGGATATTTAAATGGCGTATGTCCTTTGGGATGGGTGAACTCAGATAAATGGAGGTACAGACTTTTCATTGCTTATGGGTATCTTCCACACAGCTAATCACTGACAGAAGTGACTAACTGAAAGCTAATTGCCTGTTACTAAAATTAATTGGTTTAATTTTGATTTCTGATTGTTTATTGTCAACAGCACAATTGACATTTTGGATTCTCTGAGAAGAGAGGTGTCTAGCTTAGTTGGTGCAGTCCAGACTAGTTTATTTTCATCTCAGTTCACAGGTATGGGAATATGTCTCAGAAGCAAACAGATTTCCCTGTTACTGAATTCTGTCTATATTGTGTCCTGTGTAAAGCACCTAGTACTGTTGATCCCAGACTTCAGAAAAGCTCAGTGCAGTTGTGGGACAGCTTTTGAAAAACTTTCATATTGAAAAATTATCATGATGTTGTTTAGTGATACATTGATGCTTTTCTGTCTTAGCTGATAAATCATAAGATACAGTTTTATGCAAAGTTGTCTTCTTGTATAGTGATGGTTCCACGCAAGCATTGGCATCCTGTCAGAGGGACTTTCGTAACAAGCCCTATCCTGTTCGAGTAAAGATAACGTACTATCAAAAAACACTGACTGTAAGTACTCTGAAATAATACAATTACTCATGTTTCTCAGCTTTTGAAGTGTGAGAGTGTTGCAACTGTGTGAAAACCCAAAGACCCCATATGTTAATTCCAGTATTCTTGAAAATGTTGAGCTCTGTAGCAGAGATGCAGTATGTTCGAATGCTAGACGAGTTCTTTTAGCTACATTAGTGTATCTGTAGTTTTCTGAGCTAATTTGGCAGGTATTACTGATTTTTCTGATGTTACTGAGGAGTCAGTCATGCTAACACCCTCACATGTGCTCATACCCTTCTGTTGCTATTGACTTGCCTGTAGAGGTGTCCCAAAGCCAACATCTGTTCCTCAGCTTCCAAGCGGTTGAGCAGCTCCTTAACTTGAACGCTATTTCTCAAGCTGATCTGAAAGCTGCAGAGGGGTTTGTAGCCAACTGTAAGAGGTTCTTGAAATGTGACTAAAAAAATTGAAGCTTGCTTTTTCATAGTAGATTTAAATTTGCTACTTGAGGCTTCCCACTTCCAAGAAATAGTAGGGCTTTAAAGCAGATAGAAAACCCCTGGTATAAGGGAGTCTTCAAGACTTAAATGCTATTCCAATGATTGTGAATTCCTTCTAGATACGGAGAGTAAAATACTCGTGGTGCTGGGTTGCAGCAACTATGAAGTGTGTGTTTCTTGGCTTCTGATTTCTTCTGAAAAGGTGCTATTCATAGGTATTAGCCATAAAACACACAGCTGTTATTTTGTAGTAAAAGTTTCTCTAAAAGTAAACATGAATTACACCTAAAAGGGTGGACCTTGTACTGTGTTGTAATGGTAAAAGCTATGTTACTCTTAAATGAAAATCAAATTTCAGACTCCAAGGCTTCTCTCTTTTTAATGTACCTGATGCCTGACGCCTTATCTAGGAACTCCTTTGGCCCAAATGCTGCTAACCTTAACCTTAGCAGTTCTGCGAATGCATTTGAGGAGGAAGAGAGAATTTCTCTAAGCTTAGAATCAACCTAAGAACAGAAAGAGATGAGTCTTCTAGATCAGGCCAACAATTTGTGTTACCCAGAATTTTATTGGCTATCTTTTGATAGACTGGCCTTTATCGATGCCTGAGTCAGGAGTTTCTTGAACCAGGGATGATGATATTATGGCATGATCAGTTTTAGAATAGAATAATTCAATTTGGAAGGGACCTACAGTGATCATCTCGTCCAACTCCTGAGCCTTCTGGGGCTGACCAAAAGTTAAAGCCTGTTGTTAAGGGCATTGTCCAAACACCGACAGGCCTGGGGCAGCGACCCCCTCTCCAGGAAGCCTGTTCCAGGGTTTGACCACCTCTGGATGAAGAAATGCTTCCTCACGTCCAGTCTGAACCTCCCCAGCGCAGCTCTGAGCCCTTCCCAGGCGTCCTGTCCCTGGATCCCGGGGAGCAGAGCTCAGCACCTCCTTCTCCATGTGCCCTCCTCAGGAAGCTGTGGTGAGCAACAAGGTCACCCCTCAGCTTCCTTTCCTCCAAACGAGACAAGCCCAGAGTCTTTGGCTGCTCCTCACAGGACCTGCCTTCCAGCCCTCTCACCAGATTTGTTACCCTTCTCTGCATTTAAGTACACATTCAAGTACCTTAACATCCTTTTTTAAATTGTGAGGCCCACAGTACTCAACATGAGGCCATGTCAGTGCAAGATACAGGGGGATAATCACTTCTCTTGACCAGCTGCTTGTGCTGTGTTTAACATTCTCCGGGATGCTGTTTGCCCTCTTGGCTGTCAGGGCATGCTGCTGACTCAGTCGAGCCTGCTGTCACCAGCACCCCCAGATCCCTCTCTGCAGGGCTGCTCCCCAGCCACTTCTTTCCTAGTTTATACTTGTGCCCAGTGTCACTCTGTCCCAGGTGCAGAATCCAACGTTTGTTCTTGTTAAATTTCATGCCACTGATTTCTCAATGCTCAAATCTATCTATATCTGTCTGCAAGGCCTCTTGTCCCTTGAGTCAACAACACCTCCCAGTTCAGTATCTTCAGTAAACTTACAAAGTGTGTGTTCAACTCCTGCTTCCAGATCATTGATAAAAATGTCGAACAGCCCTGGTCCTAGAGTTGAGCCCTGAGGAGCACTGCTGGTGGTGGGTTGCCAGCCAGATGTAGCCCCATTCACTGCAGTGTGTTGAGCCCTGCTCTCCAGTCAGTTCTTCACCCAGTGCACCATGAACCTGCTCATCTTGCAGCTGGATGGCTTGTCCAGGATTCTGTGAGGGACAGTATTAAAAGCCTTACTGAAATCCAGAAGAACTATATCCACCACCTTCCATACCTACACTAGGTGGATGACCTTGTTGTAGGATATCATGTTACTTAGACTGGACTTTCTCTTCATGAGCCCTGTCTGTGCCTGATGGTTGCATTGTTCTTTAGATGCCTTTCAATAGCACTCAGTATGATCTTCATAATTTTTGCAGGCACTGAGGTTAGACTAAGAGGTCTGTAGTTTCCTACATCTTTTCTCATGCCCTTGTAAATTGGAATAATACTGGCTAGCTTCCAGTCAGCAGGGACCTCCCCAGACTCCTAAGACCTTTGGTAGATGATTGAGAGGGTTCCTGCGGTAACATCTGCCAGCTCCTTCAGTACTCTGGGATGAATCCCATCCAGCCCTGTGGACTTAGAAACATTCAGCTCATACAGCTGCTCACTTAGAGTTTCTGTGTCCGCAAATGGAAAGTCACTGCTTCTGCAGCTATGGTCCTCCAACTCAGAGGACCAGGCAGCACAAGGTCTGTCAGTATTAGTACAGACTAAGGCAAAAGAAGAGTTGAATGCTTCCATCTTTTCTTCATCCCTATTTGTCAGGTGGCCATTTTCAACAAGTATTGGTCCAGTGTTTTCCTTGGACCTCCTCTTGCTATTAACATACTTCAAAAAGCCTTTCTTATTGTCTGACACAACACTGGCTGATTTCAACCCTTGTGGAGTTTTGGCCTTTTGTGTCTTCTTCCTGCATATGCAAACCATGGCTCTGTAATCTTCCTGCGAAGCCTGACTTTGCTTGCAGAGATCATACAGTTTCTTTTTACCCTTGAGTTCCAAGAGGATTCTGTGTTCAGCCAAGCTGGTTGCCTGCCCCAGTTGCTTGACTTTTGATGCAGTGGGATTGCCTGCTCCTGTGCATGATTCTTAACAAGAAAAAAAAGAAGAAAAAAAAATGGTGGTTCTATGGACCCTGAGCCCTCAAAAGCAGTTTCTCAGGGGACACTGCTAACTTGCTCTCTGGGTATCTTAAAGTTTGCTGTCTTGAAATCCAGGTTAGGAATCCTGCTGATCTTTTTTTCTCATTACACTGAATATTTTAAACTGCCATTTCATGATCATTATGGCTAAGGCAGCCATCTACCATCACACTTCCCACACGTCTGCCTCTACTCACAAACAAGTCTAGGGGGGCATCTTTCCTAGTTGATTCACGGAGTACTTTGATGAGAAATTATCTTCATCTTCAGGGATTTCCCAGTCTTGCTTGTCACAGCAGTATAGCATTCCCAGTTGATATCTGGGAGGTTGAAATCTCCCACAGACACAAGGACTACTGATCCAGAGATTTTTCCTAATTGCTTATAGAATAGCTCATAGGTGCTCTCATCCTGGCTGAGTGATCAGTCGTGGATGCCCACAATGTCATCTGCTTTGTTTTCCATCCCCCTAATCATCACCCAGAGGCTCTCAACCACATCACCCCTAACTGTAAGGGCCGTGCAGTCACACCTCTTCACTACCACCTTGCTAGCGCTACCTCTCCTGAACAGCCCATAGTCCTCCATCCCAGTGCTCCAGCAGTGGGACTCCTTTTACAATGCCAGTGACATCATAGCTCTGGGAATGGACCAGCGTTTCCAGTCTGTCCTGTTTCTTGTACAGTGCATTGATGTACAAGCATTCCACATGTGCTCCCAAACCCTCAGTGTTCCCTGGAGCTGTGTAAATGGTCCCATTAGCACCCTCAGGCAGTGGCGTGCCATCCCTTGGCTTACCTTCCCCTCTCCTAAAGGTATCCCTTTCCCCCATGTGCTAATTTGTCTTGCTGCTGCTTATAACTGAAATGGATTCATTTTTATATGTGTCTGAATTCTATGCAGTATGTCCTCTTAAGTGATGAATAGAAAATGTTGAATTTTGTTCATGCTGAACTTTGAATCGGGCCTTTTTTTCCTTTTTAAAATACAAAACTTATGCACTTTCTTTGTAAAAAATGTCTTTCAGAGGATAAATAGGTTTTGGTTTCTGGTATCAGCTGCTGAATTACCTGATAAGTTGTATTTGTGACCATTACCGTAAACTTACAAAACAATCGACACAAATAGATTTATGTGGTAAAAATTCTGTTTATCCTTCCAGGTTTTAATTAACAATGGCTTTACTCCGGATAAAGAAGACTATGAATTTTGTGCAAAAGTGGAAGATATGGTGTTGCCTTCACAAGGATATTTTGGAATATCTGCAGCAACAGGAGGACTTGCAGGTAGCAAATGTTAAAAGATCTGACAAATGGTGTGGGGACTTGCAGGGCTTGCAAGAGAGATGTATTTTTTTACCGCTAGTGTTGATCCATTATACCAATTTTTGACCATGATGATGTAATCCTCTCCCATTCCCAAATTATTGATATGCTCAGGTGTTCCCTGGCTACAGCAGGACTTTCAGTTTGTTCCAACAGAGATGTTGAACGGTCTCATTCCCTGCTGCATAAACTCGTGAGAGGACTCTGTGTGGATGCTGTTGCCTCAAGATCCTTTGCAAGTGCAAGATTGATTTGGGAAGTTCCAGGATTTGTAATGTGTAGCAGTACCAATTAACCATGTTTTTTTGTTCTTTTTCTGTAATACAGATGATCATGATGTCCTGTCTTTTCTGACGTTCCAGTTGACGGAGCCTGGGAAGGAAGTAGTAAGCATCTTTATGCATAATTCATACAACACGGTACTGTGTATGTTTTATATGTAGTACCAGATGATGGTATTTCCTCTGATGTCATTTTTGGCATCCCTGTTTCAGGATTTTGGCATGTAGCTGTGCTGTCATGTGTTTTAGAAAAATGAGACAAAACCTGTCATGTTTTGGTAATATTTTAATTAACGTTTTCAAGACCAGAATTGAAGCACACTGAATCAACAAAAATCTTGATGTTAAATCAAAACATGCAGCAAAAACAAACTAAGTAGTACACTTTGCTTGGAAAGTAGGCAAACAGTCTATTCTTGCTTTCAACTTTCCGTATCTCTAGAACAGTTCTGTATTGCTAAACAGCATCTATCCTTGTAAAACTTGATTTCGTTTTAATCACAGAAAGTATGCATGTATTGGGAAAAAGCTATGAGTCTCCATATGAATGTCTGGTTTCTCACTCCAACTTCATATATTAATGTGCTTCACGAATTATGTTATGTCTTCAATTCTGAAATCTGAACAGCCTTGCTGGAAAATAAGTTATATAGGAGTGGTGGAGAACATGAAAAAATCTCCCCCCACACCTCTTTGATAATGTTTTAAAGCCAATACCAGATGCAGAAATTCCTCAAAAAGATAAAGAGAAGTATCAAGAAGAGTTTGAACACTTTCAACAAGAATTGGATAAAAAGAAAGAAGAATTTCAAAAGGACCATCCTGATGTGCAAGGACAGCCAGGCAAGTTATTTGAGAGATTTAAATTTTTTTTTTCCTGTTGTCAAGGAAAATACTTATGTTCTGGGATATTCAGAACTAAGATCTGATACTCTGACTGATCTTACTAAGCTCTGACTGACGTTATTTACTTTCTTTAAGAATTGTTGGTCTTTTGCTTGTAAAGTGTTTTCTGAAATATAAAGTCCCTTTTGTCGTGCCTGGACTGAGAACAAAACCAATGAACGGAAACACAGTGGGAACGATGAGACTCTGTATGGAACAGTAGAAGGGAGATGAGGGCATGCATCCCTCTGTAAAGGGGTGGTTAAGGAAGCATGGCTGCCTTGGTTATTTGAAAATGTGTATGAAAGGTCATCTTTTTGGTTTGTTTCTGCACACTGATGACAAACTTTTTTTCCCATCTTGTTTTATGGATGGTTATGAAAGATGGGCTCGTGGATGTGCTGGAACATGTGTGTACTTGGAAAAGCTTTTTAATGTTTGCCTGGTATTGGACATGTCTTGATTTCTGTCAGGTTCAGCACCTCAGCATTAGCTGGCATTCAGGGGTGGTGTCTGGGTTGCTAATAGCCACATTTCCAGCTTGATGTTCTTAAAAACTGTGGCCTTTAATTTTGCATTTTAAGCTATTGATAAGAAACTGTCTGGGTAAGGGAGAGTTGCCCTCTTCGCTATTGACTCCATACATCTGCAGCTCTCAGCAAGTATTGGTTTAAAGATATTTCAGACTGAACAGCATTTTCCCACTGATTTTTAAATGGTATTTAATTAAAAACGTATTTAATTAAAAATTAGGAAAATTCTAATAATGACTCTTGCTCACTTTGAGTATTTAGTCAAAATCTTTGGCTTTGATCAGTGGGGGTTTTGTTTGTTTGCTTGAGTTGGGTAGTGGGAAGTTTCTTTGTTTTTTAGAGCTGGGCAGAAAATAATTGCGTATTTGAATATATAATAGAAGTGGTTATTAGTTTTTTGGATTGAATAAGTTATGTTGGAACACACACATAACAGGAATGTATTTTGGGCATCTAGACCTGAAATTTCAGATGGCCATATTTTTTTGCACAGTGATAAGTTATGACTGTTCTAAAGGTCCTATGCCATTTTATCTTCATCTGTGTTTTTGAAATATTGTCCAGACTTCCACTGATAAAAAACAGTAATCTTTTTGCCACGGTCTTTTGGACTTTTTTCTTTCTGATGTTGAAGCTGCAGAGGAACTCCCTCAAAATGTGCAGTCACTTCTCTATTTCAGGCTGCTCTTTAAAGATACTTTTCCTAAAAAGGAGTTGTTACTTAATACCTGTAAGTCTCTTTTAAAGAGTACTTAGTAATGCAGTATGAGTTTATGCAAAAAGATCTGCCTCCTGAGAATAACAGCATCCTGTTTCCATTTTACGTTGCACATCACCCCAGTATTGAAATAGGAACTTTTAAGGTGGCGTCTGGGTTTGAATGTGTGGTTATCTCTGTTCATTTGGGTATCCTTTGCCACGGCAATGACGATAAATAAACACCAGACATGTCAAATTATGGTAAAGTATATCCATGTGGAAAGCTTAAGGGTGCAAGAAAAAGGTTACAGTGCAACTTATGAGGAATGCATATGTGTAAGAACTACCTGTGCTTTTTTTTTCTTTATCAGCGGATGATCTTTTTGAAACTGTAAGTGATCGTGAACTGAGGCAAATTTTTGAGGGGCAGAATCGAATTCACCTTGAAATCAAACAGCTTAATAGGCAATTGGACATGATTCTGGATGAGCAGAGGAGATACGTCTCTGCAGTCACAGATGAGATTGCTAAAAGAGGAGCTGGTTTTCCAGGTCAACAAGGACAGGTAAATTGAAAAAAAACCCCAAACCACTGTGATTGGTAGCTCAGCTTAATTTCAGCAGCATAATTGATGTGCTTTTTCTAAGATACGTTGATCTTTTTCTCTCCCCTCACTCTCTCCCCCACCAGGTTTCCCAGCAAGAGATTGAGACAGTTGTGAAAACTCAAGAAGAAGTCATTAGACAAGTAAATGAAATAAGGTAAATGCTTTCTAAATATTAGGGTTGTATTTTGAATTCTATATCATTTTCCACCTTTTTAATCCTATTTATTATTTCAATAGGATAATATTGACAAGCTTGAAATTTTTCTGTGTCGGTTCCTTAGTGATGACTCTGCATACATTTAATTTCTATAATAAAGTAAGTTCATGTCCCTAGGGTGGTTAAGCTTTCTAATTTGCCTCTTTTTTTTTAATCATGAGATTCCACTTCAACTGGTAAGTCCAGTCCCTCTAAAAACAGTCAATTTCTGCTAATGTGATAACCTGCTACCTCACGGAAACTTGTTGCTCTGACTTTGGAGTATTGATAACGACATGAGCATTTATAAATGCATTCGATTTTTATAGCTAGTGCGCTCCCAAAAAAACATTGTGTTGAAGTATCTTGTAAATATACTTAGTCTACTTCTGATATAATGTTTACATGAGTTTGTTATTACATTATGAATAAAATATCTAATAGTATATGAGCTATATTTGAGGTTTTGTTTAGTGTAAACCATCTGTAAAGGCACGTAAGTAATTGAGTAGTTCTGTACAAATTAAAAGTGTCTCTGCGTGTAATAAGGGTTGTTGAGACGTATTGCTTATTCTTTTAATGATTACTTTTGAGTTCACTTCCTCCTTCAATTTAGACAGATCTTTTGGGTTTGTGTTTTTTCACTAATTCTGCTATGACTGCCTAAAGCTCATGTATTGATTATTGCTACATAGTAGTCTGTTAGTGTTACCAATTTAAAAAAAGGAGAAAAAAACATACCTGTAGTTGTTGTTTTTTTCCTGTATTAGTTCAAGGGCATCTCTTGTGATTTACCTAAGTAGGTCAGTTTTTTGTAGAATGAAGATTAGAAAGCTTCCATTTTTGCACTTGTTCTTCCAGGAAAGCTTTCATGTTAATATTCTTGCAAGCAAATTAGATTTTCTTGTTAACATTGCCATTCTGTCCTTTCAGTGACTACTTACTGGGTATGAGTTTGCATAACATCATCTTAATATTTTTCTTAGATTAAAGAAATGTTTTATTTATAGATAGAAACAAACAGTCCGCTGTTGCATTGCTGTTCATCCCAGAGGAAAAGGACTTACTGTCGAAGTAATTTTCTTGTCAAGATTTATGTATTTCTTAATCATCTGCTTACAGAAGAATCCTCATGTTCATAGAAACTATCAGCATGGTATTGTTCATGCAAAAGTAAATGTGAATTAAATTTGTTACAGACCATGTCTATTTAGGGATGTTACTTTGCTCTTAACAAACAGGGGAAGGTGGGTGTGCAGATTTTTGTTAGTTACATAGGGATGGTGGAATTAGGAGCGACATAATGAGTGTTCTAGCACTGGAAATAGGGGGGCAAGACAATGACATGGGTAGATAGAATTACTATCAGCATTTGTTAGGCAGTGGTCACGGTGGTGGTGGCAAGGGTTTGCATAGGTTATTTAAGAAAAACATCTTCCACTGAAAAACTTACTTCTAAAATAGGTTGTTATAACACTAATTCAAAGTACAGGTAAACATTTATCAATTTACTTGAAATAATCTATACCATGACAATATAAAAATACAAAATAATTGCTGGGTAATGTATATGCTAATTTAAGTTAGGAGAGATGAGGGGCTTTTTGCATTCATTTTGTGTGTATAAATTCCAAACCAGAACTGTAGAATGAGAGAAGTGAGAGCTGCTTTGATTGTTTTCGTTTGCAGTGGCTTACAGAAGCCAACAGCTGGTTTTTGGTAATTGCTTTTGGTAACTTTGCAATATTAAAAACAAGTTTATTGAAGTAAGGGTTGAGAGTTTTGCGGAAACCATGGCTAACTCCATCTGGCCTAGAGTGTGGTACATTATCTGGAATAACTGGAAATATAACTGTAGAAAGTAATTGATCTTCTAACGTGTGCTGGAAGTGGAATATAGTTTTTACAGAGATGACACAAAAGGGTGAATTGTCTTTTTGTTACTGAAAGTGAGAAGAAATTTTTTCTGGGTCTGTGGGAAGTATGCAGGATACTGGCAGTCTAGTATGTTAAGTTTATTTATGTGTCAAAGTGGTATTTTTAAGAAAATCTGATAGTCTTCAGTTTGAAGAAAAGTATATATGTCTACGTTAAAGTGGTATGTCTGCAACTTGATTTAATTGTGTAGATTAATGTGTGGCTTTGTAGTTTAAACATGATGTGTAGTTCTTACAATGGAGCGAGAGCTCCTGTAACGCTAATAGAGCAAAAATCTATGCTTGCGGTTTTTATGTCTGGAGAGTTTTCATAGTGCATAACACAAATATGATTATATGTTGTTGTTGCCAGCTTACTCAAGGAATGGTATTCAAGCCAGGTTTTTTATTTTGTTTTTGTTTTGTTCTTATGTGAAATTTAAAATTGAAAGTGTTCAAGGAAATTGAAAGTGTTCAAGGCCAGGTTGGACAAGGCTTTGGGCAACCTGATCTAGTGAAAGATGTTCCCTGCCCACAGCTGTGGGCTGAACCAGATGATCTCTAAAGGTCCTTTCCAACCCAGCTGTTCTATGATAAATTGCTGACCACTGTACAAAGAGTTAGGACTGTACCTGGAAGGCATCGAAGTAAGCTCTCATCTGAAAAAAATGTGAAGTTTTAAGTAAATTAAAAAGAAATCCAGATACATATATTTTGATTATTCTGTTAATAATGAAGAGATTAACATTCACATGATAAATATTATTTTCTTTAGCTGTAGAATAATCCTTTTTGCAATTGGAAGGAGACATGACAGCAGGGGAAAATTATATAAACATATTGATTAGAGATTAAGTATTTTTCTCTCATTGACTAGTTTACCTCAAACAGAATTAGTTATGGAACCTCAACTTTTTATGGATTTAATTTTATTTGCTACAGAAGCAAAATTAATTCGCATGAAGACAATGTTAAGTATTATGACAGTGCGTATGGGGAATGAGTTTCTTGTATAAATGATAATCATGAAACAAGGATGTATCTAAATCTTTTCTTATCCCTAAAGCCTCTGCTTTATTTTTATTTCTTACATGACTGCTCTTATTTATTTATTTTTCAAACAGCTTTCAGTTTTCTTCAAAGATTGCATTAAACTCTGCTTATCCTAAAGCCTTGGCAAAAGCCTCAGATAAAGCACTTGTTCTAGACTTCATTAGTCAGGCAAAGCAGATGTCTAGCAATATAATATTTGCCACATCTTGTTTTCAGCATGACTTTGGGAGATGGTGCACTGTATGAATTGAAACTATCTGCAGAATTAAGTATTTTTTAGAATCATGGTTTGAAGGAATTATTTCTTGATAGGTATTATTGGAAGGTAGAAAATATGTTTTCTGCCTTTTGGGGCAACTATGTTTTTCCAACTAATTATGATGGACTAAAAGGTGTCCAGGATAACTGCTTTTAGAAAAGCTGTTGTGTACTGAAAGATGTTTTGTTCTTTGTCTTGTTTCAGAAATTCCATGGCTGATACTCTGAGGTTGATCAGTGGAGCACAACATCCTGGTTCTGCTGCAGGAGTCTATGAAACAACCCAGCACTTCAACGACATCAAAGAACACCTTCACGTAGTCAAGAGGGACATTGAGCATTTAGTACAACGAAATATGGTAACTTATGTGCTGATAGCGTAAAACACGACTGTAATACTTCTTTATGTGACTGTTAGTGAAAAGCTAGGATGAGCCAGCATGCAATTTATGGAGCAATTAATCCTTCATTAAGCTGCTTCGCTGAAACTGCACTGGCTTGACCCAACTGCACGATCTGTGTTTTGGTGAGAAGTTTTGAACAAAGATCATGATTTTTAGTCTAATTTCCTGTTGAAACAAGGTCAAGCAATTAGGTCTTCTGGGTGCTTTTTTTTGTATTTGTCCCTCTACTTAACAGCTCTATACAGAGGAGAATCTTCATTGCTTCTGCACAGAAGGGAGAGCTTTAATCAGAGGAAACTTGGGCAGGCTCCACTTAAGGTCTCTTAAGTGTGAAAGATGTCTGCGTTCACATTCAGGAGCACCTTAGTCTAGGCTAGGTAGCAGTCAAACTTAATTAGTTTATAGTCCCAGAGAAGGTTCTTGATTTCTGGGTTAAATTACTGGAAGACTTATTCTTTCCCCTATAACCCTCAAATTAACGTCAGTCAGTTTATGTAAGAAACATAAAAGTGGAAGGGGAAAGAGAGGGATTAAGATGATGATTTTTTCAGAGTAGTGTCATTGCTCTCTGTTTTCTGCTTGCATTCTGATTTTTAGGTCACATTGCAAAGACCTCATTTTGTTTCTTACATATAACAGTCTTTTGATGGCATGTCTCACTTGCTCTTCTCAAACACTGTTTTTCTTGTTTTTTAGCCATCTAGTGAGAAATCAAAGTGTCCAGACTTGCCACCGTTTCCATCATGCTTATCTACAGTGCACTTCTTTATATTTGTAGCGGTGCAAACAGTGTTATTCATTGGTTATATCATGTATAGGTGAGTATATTTTTGTTTAAAGACAATAGGGCAAAGGGGTTTAGAACTTCTGACTGGAAGTGCAATTGCAATGGTATAATTGTGTTAATCTTCTTTAAAACAAGCAATTGTTCAGGCTGGACGAGACCTTGGGAGGTTTCTAGTTCAACCTCTGGCTCAAAGCAGGTTTGACACTGAATTCAGACCAGGGTGCTTAGTGTTTAGACCAGTCATGTCTGGAAATCCTCCAAGACTGGAAAATTTACCACTGTTATGGACCCCACTGAAAATGCTTAGTTATCATAATGAAGTTTGTTTTATTCTCCCCCCACTCCCATGATACATCTACTGGGAACCTGTTTCAATTTTACTGTTGTGTGTCTTTCTTAAAATGGGCATCTCTGTGAAGAAACTGTCCCTGTCTCCTCAATAATATCCTGTGGGTGTTAGAAAGCTGCTGTTAGACCACCTGAAGCATTCTTTTGTCCAGGATGAACAAGGCCAGTTCCCACCCAAGTGCTTCAGCTCTTGACCACCATCCTTGTGGTCCTTGCTGGACTTACTGAGATTTATTAATATTTTAACAACATCTGATGTGATTTTTTTTTTTTTCCCCCTGTATGTACCTACAAGCTATTTATCCCATCTTTTCATCGCTCTCCTACATAGGATACTGATAATGTACAGGCTTCCTGACACCCTCCTGCCCCCAGCCCCGCTAATTGGGATGTTTTCTCGGTTCTCTTCCTCCTTCTTGTAATGTCATAATGTTCAAATTAAATTTGCGTTAGTGGAAAGGAAAACCTACTGAGAGTAAGGACTGACTTGCTTGGTAGTCCTCCCTCCTGCTTCTCACATGCACTAATCAGAACAAGGAGTAGGGACCAAAATATCTGCATTGCTCTTCAAAGGGAAAATCCTGTTTGCTACCTCTGTGGAAGAGTAACTAGTATTAATATAAGACCAGTGCTGCTAATAGCACTAACTTTTATTGTGTCTGCTTCTCTGTGAAGTGGAGAGTGCGTGTTTCTTGGGTATGTCATGTTATGCCATCAACTGGAAAGGTGGCTTCAAGACAGATGAGGAGCTGGTCCCCTCCAGTTCTTTTTGGTGCCTTTGCAATTCTAGCATCTGTGTGTGGTTGATCCACAGTATCTGTATCCACTAAGAAAACAACTATGTTCTGTGCCAGAGGGAGAAGAAAATCCCATTTCAAGTAAATTCTTTCACTGCTTAGTAGCATGTGTTTCTTTCTCTGTGATGATCTTTAGACCAATCAGGTACTGAGAAGCTTTAGAAAACTTTAAAAATCAGTTCATGTGTTCTATCACAGTTTCTTGCTTCTGTCTAGAAGGTTTTGTTTCCTTCTGTGCCTGATGCAGAATTGAAACTACAGTGATGCTACCAGTGTCTGTAAATAGAAAAATTCCCAAAGACTATTGGCAAGGAGTGGAATCTCTTAATCCCCAAGTAAATGAAATATTTAAGTCAGTTACCTAGCTTTGTACTGTATTTAATGAATTCTTGTCTGCTTTTTCTTTCAGGAGTCAACAAGAAGCAGCAGCCAAAAAGTTCTTTTGATGACCTGTTCCTTTTGTGCGTACATAACAGCAGTATGTATGCACAGAAAATTATACACTTCTGTAAATGAGGGAAATTTTAGTGTTTGATATACTTCAATATTGTAAATTATTGAATTTTGTTAAAGAAAATGAGTTCTCATTTAAAATGTTAAAAGTTATAAACAGACTGAGGAGCAGTGGGGCAAATGCTAGATAGGGTCTGCAGTCTTCCCTTATCTAGGTCTGTGTTCTCGGCTAATTTTCACAAATACTGGAAGGCAAGTGCTGTATTCCTCCTTTTCTGTTCATATTCCAGAGAAGGGAATTGGAACATCCAGGTTTGGTGGTTGTTCATAATGAGAATTGCAGATGGATGCTTTGTGCAGAAAGCTTGCCACTAAGTGTCCTGACATACCATTTTAAAAAACAAAAAAAGCACCAAACAAACAGAAAAACTCCACAAAAACCCAGTTACAGACCCCAAACAACTGTTCTCTATTTTGGGAGAAGAGTAAAAACTTACTATAAATATTTCATTTCTTTACCACTCGGATTTAACAGTTTACTAATTATTTAGTTAATTCTAACTTCATGAAATACAAATGCTTTTTAGTATGTGGACACAAAGATGGCCCTTTAACAGTCTGACTGTTGATACCTGATGTAAAAAACAAACTACACAGAACCAGCAATTAAAGGCTTATCTCCTTATTTTGGGTTTTTGTTTTAGGCAGTGAGAGAAAACATGATAAAGTAGTTTTCTTCAAGTATATCATGGGACTGATTTCTTTTTTGTAGTTTCAAGTCTGTAATTTTGTTTGGAGATTTGTGGAACTTTTTCAGCAAAGACAATTGCTTTATACCTCTTAATCTGATTTTATTAGGGATGTGTTTAGCATATGAATGTCTTTACTTTTACAAAGCTGTCTTGTGTCTTTCATGTATCAAATACAGATGCTTTGATTTAAATCTTGACATGGCAAGTATTCTAAACTACAGGTATTAAGTGTTAACTTGTTTCTCACAAGCTGTTGCTTCAGACGTGTTTGTTAATCCAGCAGCTATTGTAGAACCAGTATTGTGTGTCAATTCCTGCTTTAATATCAAAAGCATGAGACTGAACATGTGTTTTTGATACTGCTTATCAGGTGAGCATTTGCTTCAGGAAGGAAACAAAGCAGATAGCCCAAATTAGGAATGTGAAATGAATTCATTTTGCCTTGTTTACATATCTGTGATAACTTTGTCCTTGAGTTGTGTGTAGAGTTAAAATAGGGAGCTTTGTTTGTTTTGTTCAAATTCTATAAAATACACAAATGCATCAGGATATTTCACTTCTAATTATTAATCTGTTTGTCTGAATCTGCAAAAAATTATCTGGAATCTAGCGTACTACTACTGCATTCCTACAGTCTACTCCCTTGGAGTGCAACACATGCTGCCAAATTCACTGTAATGAAGAACACTTCAGTATTGTGCCTGTCAGTTTGGAGAAATGATGAATCTATGCAATATATTTTGTTACTGAAAATACAGTGTCCAAAAAGTGGATGCCTGTGCTATACCAATAAAACTACACTGCCTACACACCTATTTACATAGCTACAGTATGTAGTATACTGTAAGTGGTAAAGCTTTGTAGATTCATTTCTAAACTTGAGAAGATTTTGCTGTACTAATTGGAGAAACTACTGCCTCAAGCTAACCTTGCTAGATAAATAGTGTAAATCAATGAACAAAACCTTTTCACATAAGCCAGAATAACATGTGGGAATTTTATCTATTCAGTTCTTTCAACACCAGCAAATATGTACAGGTGCCTTGAGTCTAAGCTATTACAACCCTGACTCTTCAAACTAAATGTATTTTCTTAAATTGTTCTGAAAATGTACAGTGATGTTCCTTTCAATTGCAAGTCTTCCTTCCTGAGTGTGACACCTAAACAGAACTCGCCCCTCTCACTGCAGGGTTTGAAAGACCCTTTATGCAGAAAGGCTAGCAATTGTATTTTGATAAGTAGGTGCATGTGTCTGGCATAATGAGGGACAGCTCTTAGCGTAGCAGTTGGAGGAAGCCTGTATATTTTGTTACTGTGAATTTACCCAACCATAACTTTTTTTAAAAGCTGGAGCAGACCATACTTTTATGTCTTTTCTTAGAAAGAAGAGAAGGCTGGGGATGGTGTCTAGGGGAAAACTTGGACCTACAATTGTGTCTTCGGTGTGAGGCTCAGCTTGTGTGTTTGTGCTGCTAATAGATCTGACACATCCCATGTGCAACTATGAAACTTTTGTTTTGGGGAGCAAAAGGTCTAAAGCATAACATCCAAAAAGTGGTAACTTTACTTCATGCTTCATTTCACAGTCATCTCTCCTTGGAACTTCCATAATTGCCTCGTCACTGAATGGATCAAAGGAAAGCTCCCAGCTGCCCCGCTCAAATTTTGTCCTGTCTGTTCTTGAGGTGATAGCAACAAATTTGGACTTTAAGAATATTTGTCAGTCAATATAGCCTCCTCTTATGGGTGGCTAATAGAAGTTTCTTTCAACACTGATACTGTGTTTGATTCTTATCAAGTAAGATTTCAGGAGTAGGATGAGAAGACATCTTGGAATCCAGTTTGACAATACGGGGGAGAACAAGTTTAATAATTGTATTTGGAGTGTGGATGATAAGTAGCAAATACTTGGCAGTGACAAGAGAATCTCATCGTACTGGTCAGTATCAAATACATGGTCACACCTGAATCCTTCAAAAGTAGGATTGACAATATGGTTTGTAAATTACCTAACTTCCTATGTGAAGAAAATCTGACATTTATCAGTGCATCAATTCCTGTAATACTGAAGACTGTCTACTGTTTTTTTTAAACCCAAACAGCTGACACTTTCATGTTTGTTTCTGACTAATGTAAGTTGACACTTGGAGTTCAGAGATAACCTTGTTTGAATAAAGATGCATATTTTTAGTAAACTTTTTTGTTTTAATTTGATGCATGTGCATGAAATCCAAGCAAGTGTATTTGAAGCATTCTTTGCCCTCTGTTGTTCAGAGAGTTTGAACGCTTTGAGATCCGTGTGCAGTCCTGCCTGACACTGGAGAGTTAAGGGCACTTGGAGGTTGAGGCTTGGCCTGTGTTGGGGACAGATGGCTGCCCCGCTTAGCAGAATGTGCTGCGTCTAGCCCTGGTTCATTCTATGCGAAGGGATTATCTCCTCTCTGCAGCAGTCTAATGCAAGACTGACTAACCTGAAAGTAAGATTCATTCAAAAGCTTGTGTTAAGAGTATCGGACTTGCCTTGAGTGTCAGACACTTGGGGTCAAATGTGAAGTAATATGTCAACTTCTAAGTCTCTTAACAGCAAATCAAGTTGCTTGCTGGCTGCTTAGAGTATACAAAGTACCTCATTTTTGTGAGTTGAAGATTGCTTACATCTCTGAAGGTCTGTCTTCAGATTCTCCTTGCTGGGTGCTCTGCTCCTGTTTGTTGAAAAGCAACATGCCTACCCAAAACAAGTCAGTCTGTGTCTCCTTGGGTTTTTTTGTTTGTTTGGGTTTTTTTTGTTTGTTTGTTTTTTACTGTTCTATTCAGTAAACTGTGTGTGTCTCTGGTAACCTCCCACAGGAAGAGTAAAAATTCCTTCACTGGCCATCATTTTCCCCCAGTGAGGAGTAATTTCTCTAATAGGTGGAGGAGACGAATCTTTAATTGAATCTATTCAATCTGCAAAGACCTTAGAATATTTGTTTCTCTCTTTCTATGCACGTGATCTGATGTTCCAACTTACGTAAAAGGTGACATCCCCTTTTAGAGGGATGAAGTGGGGGAAGAGTCTTGGTCCTTTCAGAGAACACTTGGATACTACTGAAACGTGGTTGGAGTTGTCTGCTGTGACTGTGTTTGGGAACAGAGTATGTGGAAGAGGCTGGAAGCCAGGATGCTTGCTTGTCTATGGCATTTCTGTGCTGGCCTCCCTGTGAGGCTTTTAGATTTTACTCTTTGTGATTTGCCTGTTGTGGGGCTGGAGATGCCTGCATTCTTTGGGTATGGAACACGGGCTTTTATCACATTGCCCAGCTCCATCAGATAAAACAGGAACTGGTTTAGTTTTCATTTTACTTAAGCTAGAGGGAAAGGACTTGTTTTAAAGCAGAGGAAGTGGCAACATGAGTACTTAATTAGCAGCTTTCCATATGTTTTCATTAAGCCTGTGATCCCTGTAATCAACAAAAAGCAGTAAGTGTTTTGTAACTTCAATATTGGCTAGTAGTGAAAGCACCTGCCAGGAATGGGAATTATTCTAGAGGTATTGGTCCTTGTTGACAGCCAAGGCAGCTACTTAAAACTTGATAATTTAGGTGCTCTGTAAGCAATTAGTTCCTTGTCAGTCTGACTGTTTATTCATTATTTCTGTACACAGATTTGTGATAAATATCTAAACCCACACTGAAGTGAGCAATTTGCTAGAGAGTTATGCAGTGTCTTCCAAAGTTTCATCACTTCTGTGTTTCTCATCAGTTTCCAGTGCCAGTAGGGCCAATATTTTTTAAAGCGCTTTTTGTTGTCTGATTTTGAATCTAACACTGGAAAGCCTTTTGCTGTTGTTAGGAAGGTTCATGAGACCTCTCTCATAACCTGGATGGCAATATCTCTCAGGTTCTTAGGAATCCCTTCTCAAGCCAGTTTGCAGCTTTCTTGCCTTCTCAGTCAGTTCTGTGAAAGCATCTCTTTTAGGCAGAAGGTGGTTTCTAGAGATGCCTGAACTGATGAAGCACCTTCTCCCCTCGCTGAGGACTTTGTCTCTTGCTCTTGAGAGGCACTGAGCAGTGGAGGGCAAGTCCCTTACATGAGTCTGGCTGCAGTCTAGGAGCTAGGGATTGGCTTTTCAGGGCTGTGCTCGTAAGCAGCATTTAACTCCATTTTTCTAGAATTAGCACTTTATTTTCATTTCTTCCTTTTAAAGTTTGTTGCATAGCAGGGAGAGGCTCTTCTGGTCTTGTCCTGGGTCCTGGGGTGGCCACTACTTCTCAGCAGTCAGAGTGCTCATCCAAAGACTGTCCTCCTGAAAAGATGCTAGAATTAGAATTTCTCAAATACCAGCGAAGTGAGCAAGGTCTTGGTTTTGGCAGAAGGCAAAAGGTTTCAGGTTAGAGCCATTCCTTCTTGTCTCCATGCTGGGAAAATGGTTTAAAAGTACCTTTGAGCAGAGTTGGCTAGCGCTTGCAGATGGCACAGCTGCACACTGGTGGGTCTGTGGTGTAGGTGTGCTGTGTTCTGCTGGAGTTCGGCTGGCCTGCCATCAGCTCTTGAACAAACACAGCCTTCTCTGAAGTGTGGAAGGATGGAGAAGGGGGGGTGCTCAGCCCTTCTGCCCTCTGAATGCCTCGAAGGCAGCAAACTGAGCCAGGGCAGCTGTTGGGTGTAACAAAGGCAGCCTGACTTTGCCAAGCCTGTTCTGAAGTGACTCCCTGAGGTAGGAGCAGCGATACCTTATGTGTAAACTCAGTGCTGGATTTTTCGGTTTTAAATTTTGCCAGATAACAAACTTTATTTCCCTTTATTATGCATTCAACTTCAGACTCTTGCATGCTCAAGTTAGCATTCTCTGCTTAAATTGGGATTAGCTATTCAGTGTCTGTGATCTCAGTTGTGTTAGCCATTTGGGCAAGTAAAATACAGTTTTGGTAATCAAGGTCAGAGTTGGTCAGATGTAAAAAGTTGATTCTTCCCACAAATTCTCACAACTTTAGCATAGTTCTGAAAGTGCACAGTGATTATAAAAATCAATTTTGATTTAAGAAAAATGCTTTCTAGGTATTTGTAGTATATCAAAGTGTTTTTGTTGTGATTTGGAATTCATGCTTCTGAGTGATACTCCATTTCAAAAAGAAATTTAATGTTTCTTGTTTAATCACTAATAATCCAGGATTACAGAATGTCCTGCCCTTTTTTTTTAAATAGTAACAGGTCTGCTTTAATTAGAAAGGCTCAAATACAGATTAAGGCATTAGGCAAACTGGAATCCTTCCCTCTCTCAGTGAAATTATGAGAGTGCTGGGAGAACCATTTTGATAATCAGAATTACAGAATGTTTCACTAAGGCATGCGCAGTCAGTCATAGTAGGATAAATGGTCAAAACCCAAAATCATGAACTTTTGAGACCTAGCAGAGTATTTTATTTCCCAAAATAGTCTATAATCTAGATTGCAGATCCTACAAATCTTCACCTGAGTAGACCTGGTGAGACTAATGATAGGAATAAAAGTTTGAAAGATGAGAACCTACACAAGCAACCCACAAACAAAAGATATCAAGGCTGTATTTTGGCATACAGAATCTGTCAGATTAATTTCTCCTTTATTGACAGTTAAGATTAAAACCACTAGATATATTCTATGCAGCACCAGTCAAAGTGGTGATCTAGATGGAGAAAACCTGGGGAAGAGTTGAAATAAACCCTAAGGAATGAAAAGTAGGAAGGTGTGATTTGCTTTTTTTGTGATTACTTTCTTGAAAAAAAACAAAAACAAAAACAAAAAGATTGCCGTAATGCCCCTTTCATCTGTGATACAAACCAACCATATGAAAAGTGGATGAAGAATAATCATTCAATGTACGTTCTGTCCAATGTGATAAAATGTTAATGGATAAAAAGGATTGGGTTTTTCACTTAAAGAATTTCAGTTTTCAAATCTCATTGGGTTGTGTAAATCCAAAAGGGTTTTCTGCTCTGTAGCCCAAATTTTACAATTTTACTGTGGTCATTTAGTCAGCCAGGCTTTTAATTCAGATCTGTTGTGTTCCAGGAAATGGTTCCATCTCTGTGAAAGTGACAGTTTCAAGACTGAAGAAGTCAAAATGCTATTGCACACCATAGTTGATCTGTGTGTGTGTGTACACAATTAGCTTAAGGTATTAATACAAACAGTAGGTAGCTGTGTCTAATGATTTTTATTTTTTTTTGAGTAATCTGAACCATCTGCCTCTAGATATTAAGGAGTTCACTCTTTAATCCAGATTATGGCTGACAAACTGGTTTTGGCATTCACGTTTCACTATCATTGTGCCCTTGAAGAGCTGATGTGACTGTAGAAACTCTCTTGCTTACAGTTGTTGGTATTGAGAACATTTTTGGTTTGCTTTGGCTTTCTTGTAGCTGCTTGCTTATAGCTCCTTTTTTCTTGAGAAGATGGCCTTTCTAATGAAAAGTATGTTGAGCAACCAGGTAAAGAACTTGGGACTTGGAGGTGGAGGGGAAGAAAGCAAAGAAGAAAGCACTCCTTCTGATCCAGCAGCAGCTGCAGGAATGACCAGAGAGGAATATGAGGAATATCAAAAGCAAATGGTTGAGGAGAAGTGAGTACCTGTTCCCTTATTACCAGTATGGGGCTGATTCTTGGTAACTTTGTGCAGATAAAAATAACCCAAGACAAAGCCAAACATTCATCGCTCTTCCCTTTTTTAAAGGAGACAGATCTTTGCTAGACTTTCTGAAATAAAAATTCCTGACTGGAAATGATAAATATGTTCCCCCCTTCCTCCCCCTCATCCTGCACCTCTCTCCTACAGTTCCCTGCTATCTCCACACCTTGATATGCTGGATTCATTCCTAGCTGATGTTACTTTATCTTTCAGATTTTTCCATAGGTACAAAGCTGTTTGTAGTGCAGGAGTTAATTCTAAAATGTGTATGATTTGTTCTCCTAGAAGTCCATGTGGAGTATGCTTTCAATACACGATCTTTTCTTTGTCCACATTACTTTTCCATGTCTGCCATCATAAATGAGTGCCATGCTTAATTGGATGATATTTATCTAGAGAAAAGTTTTAAGACGGTTATTTTTTGTACTTGTGTTTTCAGTTATTTCTTGTAAAATATAGTAAATTAGAACTTTTCAGCTGAATAAATTTCAATTTCATTTTGTCTTTAATTATAATCTTTACCACTTGCTATGTTTAAATATCAAAGCAGAATTAAAATAAAGGACTTAACATGTAGGAGTTCAAATCATGCATAATTGTAAATAAAACGGTTGACTTTTAAATCTCAAATGCATCTGTTCCTCTAATGGTCAATTACATAATGGTTGTGTAAATCCTTCACGTAAGGTGATTATAGGTGAAAGGTTAATGACTGACAGAATTTGAGGTATCCAGGTCTGTATTTAGCAGCAGCCATTTCACTCATAAAACCTTGAATAGGTATCCCTTAGTTTGGAATAAAATACGGAATGTTCTGCTATGCATTTTGTCAAGGGATATTTAAAAGAGAAATAACCACCTGCTGGCAGGAAGATGCTTCAGGACTGAGAAGCAAAACAGGATTGCTGAAACAGAAATAATTCTTTTTTCCAAGCATTTTCCCTGTGATGTTTTCAAGTGTGGCATGTGCCTGTTACATGCTGAACTCTGTTGAGGAATTGGTGCAGGAGGACTTCTGAAAGTACAGTTTGGAACTATAGTAGGAATGTTTGAAGTACTTTCCAAGAGAAAAATAGGACAGTGCACACTGGTATGGTTATGTAAATGTGTGTCAGAAACCTTTTGTCACAAGCAGAGCATCTGTTTCAGGGCTCTCTGGATTTTACCCAGTTTTCAGCTCTATGGGAGTGCAGATCAGAGAAGTGCCTTGCTGGAGTCGTACTTGGGTGGAGTTTGGCCTTTGTGTGACCATCCTGGCTCTGGGTTCTTCTCAGGTTTGGGGTTTGGGCTTTTATTTGGTGGCTAAACACACAAAAATGCACAGATTGCTGTTGCTCGGGAAAATGTGTAATACACAGGAACAAACAGGTGGCTTATGCTGGCAGCCTCTAGCATGGTCACAAAGAATTTTTTTCCAGTATCTCAAGAGTTTAAGCAAGAGGTGACCACCAGTTTGTGCTGCCTGTCACGGGCATTAGACTGTTGTGCAACTACTCTTATACCTGTTTCCTGTTCCCACAAAGCTCCATGTTCCAGGGAATTGATTAGATTCTCCATAACAGAAATGTAAATTAGGCCCACACTAGGGCCCAGGCAGTGTTGGGAGGTTGGCTGAGTGAGTTTTGCCAGGCCTTCCCATGATGCCAGGACAAGTGAAAAGCTCAGACCTTCCTGAGCAGAAAATCCCCTCCTGCCCCGCAGCCTCACAGGACACCTGAAGGGATGCGCAGTGGGAACAGCCCCATACAAGCTATGGCTAACGGCTCCTCTGGAGGAGGAGCAGGCAACAGAAGAGGGAGGTGGAGGAAGAGAAGGAAAATGTGCCAGAAGGGCTCAGAAAATCTCTTTCCAGTCTTTCCATCAATGACTGAAAGTAGTTTAAGAGGGCTCTCGTTTAATGTGAAACTTCTTGAGAGAGAAACAAAAAAAATTATTTGTGGAAGCACAGGAAAAATAACATTTAATCTTGAAAGTAGCTTTCATATGACAAAATACTTGAACAAAATCAATTTTGCCATAGAATTTTCATGATAATGCTTCTGGGGGAGAAAGGGAGACAGGGAAGGTGAAAGTTATCAAATGTGACCAAAAATCTTTGAGGAGACACATTTTGCAAATAAATACACAAATAGTCTAACTAAAAATTGTGCTGAACAGTTCTTAAATCTAATGAAAGCATTTTATGAGATCACAGATAAAAGAATTACTTTTCCATACAGGGAATCTGTGGAATTCATTGCTGTAGGATGTTCTGAAATAATAAATGGATGCAGAAAAGACCGAGAAAATTCATAGGTGACAGAGGCCACCCAGGGCTATTAGAGACAACAGTGTAGGGGCAATTTCCAGCAACCCTACACCACTGATTTTTTGGAAGCTGGGCAGTTTTGATACAGGATGCTTATCCTCCTCTTAAATTCTTTCTCTGAGTATCCACTACTGTCTGCTGTTGAAGATTGGACTCTAGGATAGGTAAACTTTTAGTCTGACCCAGAAGGACCGTTCTGCCGTTGCGTGTGGTGTTATTCTGTGAGGATGTGGTGGTTGTAGAACAGGAGCATAGGCAGGCAGCCACGTCTCAGTAAGTGCCCCAGCAGAGTAAGTGAGGAATAAGCCTAACTCTTCTGTTCTGCTTATTGGAATTGTTCATTGTTACAGTGAGAAATGTCAGCTAGTACACGTACAAACTCCAGACAAGTAGTGTTGGCTTATCCTTCATTCTTCACGGGACTCAAGGGAACTGTTCTGAGAACAAGCTTATGGTGCAGGAAGTCTGGCCCCTTAGCATTGCTCCTTTTGTGGACAAGTTACATAATTTTGGGAATAACTCCTGCGTGTAGCTTTTTGCAACTGAGCAACTGGCTCAGTGTAAAAGATCATATTTTATTAGTATCTTGAAGAAACATCTTTTCTGATTTCCAGGATGGAAAGAGATGCAGCATTTGCACAGAAAAAAGCAGAGCGAGCCTGTCTGAGGGTTCATCTGAGAGAGAAGTACAGACTCCCTAAGGTAAGCCTGTAGTTCTTGATCTCATCTAGTTCAGTGGCCAATTTTAAAACAAACTGACAACCAGCACAGAATTCTGAAAATGGCAAATTGCCTTAATTTTCATCACATCCAGCTCAGTACAGAAATGGAGGCCGGAACCATGGCTTTCCCTAGTGATTGCTCCTTTTAGACCCTTTTTTCTCTGTTCAGTAGATGAATCCAACAGAAAGATTCTTGCAATCCTTCTCTACACTGTCAGATCTGAAAAAGTTGAGCATCTGGTCTGACTGTTAGTATAAGTTCTTAACTTGGTAACATGCAACAGTTAAAAATAAAACTATAAGCAAATAAGCGGAGTCCCTGAAAACTCTGCAAGCTGTACACTTCTGCTAAACTTCTCAAGGTTTATTTTTAGTATCTTCTTCCAAGAAGTGTACGAAAACTGTCCATTCTTTTTTCTTTAGTCCTTCTGACACTGTCAAATTTTCCCAGGAAAACCAAAATACAGACAATAGAAGCTTCAAGCAGCAGAGAAATCTAGTTGTTTGTTAGAGGCTGTCCAGGCAGCTTCTCGATTGTGACAGAAAGCGCAGTTAGCATATAGGTTGACAGTATTTTCCTGGCATAAAAACACATGGATGCAAACAAGAATAGCTCTCGACTGTATTTAAAGTGTTTTCCTGGTTTAGAGGGAAGACATGCTCCTCTGTTTATTTTCTGATTCTTCCACATTTTCAGGGATTTAACAGCAGAACTCTTGTTTATCGAAGGTTTATCAAAGTATAGGCTTTAGCACTAAGCCAATACTGAGCATCCACAGATCTTGCCTATTAAAAGAAAAAGTTTTGAAACTTGAATATTCTGGAGATGATTTCCTGTTGCAAGATGGTGATACTTCTGTAATGAAGAAAGCTGGTATCTCGTCTAGGACTGTGGGCTGGAATTGAAGGGAGCTAACGGAGCGAGAGCCAGAGGAGGGCTCTGCAGCAGAATCAGGGAAGATTAGCCCACAGCGGGATCTCTGCATCCATTTTGACTGCAGGATTGCTGTGAAGGTCCCTAGGTAGGTGTCCCTGTGATAGTCTCTTTTATGGGCGTGAGTCAGGTGAGTTTTCTCAGCTTAGTGTTGTAGGACAAGGTTGTTAAATGGCGTGTGGTATACCAGGGCCAGCGGCTATTTACCTGAGTATTCTAAAGGATTTAAAATTAGGAATTGCCAAACTTACTGAGGCATGTAGCCTGCCATTTAACATCAGAAGATGGGAAATGTGAAGACATTTTCAAAAAGAAGCTCCCAGAGATATACAGAGAACAACAAATCAGTAGCTTACTTCTGTAACGGAGATGAAGGAAAACTACTACAGACAGCTACCAGAGACATGGGCAAAAATGATACGATGGGGAGAAGAGAAAGAAGACTTGTACCAGACAGCTCAGCCTTTCAAATCTGTTGGCATGCTCTGAAGGGATGACTGATCATAAGGGTGAAAATTATTAGTTCTAGGGGGTTTTTTAAAAACAAAGTTGAAAAAATCCTTTCCCCAAAAACTCATTAAAGAAAACAAACTGTTCACTGGGTGTGAAGGAATGTCCGTGGTCATGAATATTATTTTCCATTCATTTTGAAGACTTCTTTGTGCAAATTAGTATTGGGCCTTTTACTACTTTGCATTTAGGAGCTCCCCTAAAATCTGAGATTCTGCTCTGGGCCATGGAATTGGAAGGCTTTGCGTCTGTCCATGGCTTTCCAGCACATGGTTGTGGCGCGTGGCTGCAGCCCACTTGTGGTTTATGGTTTTATTCTGAGTGGGTTGCACTGTTAGCTCCAGCGTAGAGAAAGTAATTTGGGCTTCTGTGCTTGGAAGAATTGTTATTGCGTGATTTTGCATTCTTCTTCCATGGGCAGGAGATATGTAATATGGGATGGAGTAATCTATGTAGGATTTTGGATCATGCATCTGCTCTGAAGTGTGAAGCTAGTGTGAAGATGTTAGTGTTTCTGAAGATTTTATTTATATCCCACAAGGAAGCATTTGGTGATTCTTAGCAATTTGAGACCTTGTTTATATTGCTAATACTCACCTGCCATTTCTGAGTCATTACCACTTGTTTTCTAATCAGTACTTTCCAGTGATTTTTAATTAAAATGGAGGAAGGTAAAGAATCCATCTCACCTAAATTTAGCTGCTAAAAAATTTAGTACTTAACCCAAGCAAGTCATTTAAGGACTGTCATTGATGGAGAGACCAGCACTTCTAGGCTCATCTATCCAAACTTTCAGATAAGTAGTTTAAGGTGAAGTTGGGTCCCTTTCCAGCGATGTGTGCCTCTCTGAGGGAGGCCAGGTTGCTACCTTAGACCAGACAGCTGAAGTCAAGTGAGATGTATTCCACCCTTAAGACCCTGGTTCTTCCAGCGCTGTAGCTGGAATTAGCAGAACAACCCAGTCTTTGATTCCGTGCTCACAAACTGGAGCTTGAATCTGAACTTAGTGTGACCATGGAGGGCCCTGGATTTCTGGGTAGGGTCCCTGGTCATTGCCAGCTGGATGCCTTCAACTGGAGAAATGTAGGAAGTTGTGCAGGAAGCTGCAGGTGAGGGATAAAGGAACAGCGGAGATCAGGGTGTGAACGCAGTCTTAGTGACAGGATTGTGAACAGACAGGGAATCTGGTGGCCTTGCAACTTTGGACCTGGTTCACCAGGCACTTTAGAGCCCTATGCCTATGAAACGTGCACCAGGAGGCACTGAAGTCTCCTGGAGAGCAAGAAACTGCAGGTTGGAGGGCTGTCTTTGCTTGAATCAATGCTGTCTTAAGCAGAGTTATACAGAGTTCCCAGAGATCCATATAGTTCTGGAGACTGTGAAATATGGTTCAGACCCTTCTGAGAGCAGGATCTTTGTTTCTTGATCTGAATTATTCCACTGTGTACGTGCCTAACATTTATTGGCTTCGTGTTCTGATCTCTCATGTTTCTTTGGTTTAGCCTAACATGTTGTGTTACTCTGCAGTATTTGCACCATGACACAGGCTCTCTAGTTGCTGTTGTTGACTTGGTAGATTTACTGGGAAAGGAGGAATGTTTGAGCTTCTTCCTTCCACCCTGACACAGACAAGTAAACCATGTGCTCCCACAGCCTGTGATACCAGTGGGAGCCTTCCCTCAGCTAAACCTGGGTTGTATCCATCCCTGAACTTGAGTCTGTACGTAGTCAGTGAAAAAAGCTTATTTCTGGAAAGTCTTTGAAGACTCAGGTTTGCGTAGGCTCCTTATTCACAGGTTGTTAAAAGGTCATGTAGAGTTCTCCCAGTAATATCTAATCTTAGACCAGTGGTGGTTTGTATGCTATTAAACTGTTCTTATCCTGGTCACTCTTTCTTTCATTGCTTATAAAAGATTTCTAAAGAGATTTATTTTTCCATCTTCACTAAGATATCCTTCAGATACAGTTATGTCAAATACAACACTAGTGACTTGCTGAAAATTTATCATTTGAGCAATTTCCTCCTGGAAATAATGTCTGTTATCTGGAGTTGTCCAGTTGCTTTTCCCTTTGCAGACAGTGCTACAGCTGTCTGATCTGTGCTCTCTGTGTTTTTCATTCCATCTCTGGCAGTCAGCAGAGCTTGGGGCTTGCTGGTTCATCGGTCACATGAAGATATGGACTTTGTGTTTTGGTGACCTTTTGTGTATCATCCAGCTTCCAAATAGGATGAACTGAGATATGTTTAACTGAAGGCCCGGGCCCCTGCTCTGTGGCACAGAGCTAACCACACAGGTATTCAGCTGCTGGACTCCAAGGGATTTCAAGGAGATTAGAGTCTATATGGTCCTGTGAGTGTGAGCCCAGGAAGACAGAGGTCTGATTATTATAGGAGTAATTCAAATATTCTAGTGGTATATGGCTCGCATTTCCCAGACCCTTCTACCCTGGGATGATGGCCCTAGTCAAGGTTGAGAACTATCCGTGCCACTTTTTAGTCTATATTAATTAAGCAGCAGTAAAGAAATTAACTATCACCGGGGAGTTCAACACATTCAAAATACGCTCAGCTAACAAATTAATAATGCCCTGGCGTACTTCATTCATAATTGCCCAGGGTTACTGTCACAGAAATCACCTAACAGCAGGGAAGCAAGTCAGCTGAGGCCTGCAGGTGCCTATCTTGTTAGGACCCAACTCAAACATTGAGGGAAAAGTCTTCCCAGGAGCCATCAAGTCTTGTGATGTTAGCTTTGTAAAAGCACAAGCATTGTAAGGGATTGTCTGAATCTGAAATACTGTCACACCTTCCAGCACCTACAGGAGGAATACATTATCCTGAAGTGAGGAGGACAAATGCAAGGTTGCACAGCTGCAGGATAGGCCTGTCCGTCTGAAGGCTGTTATGCTGGTTTAGGCTGTGTTCTTCACTGGCCATCCATTACCTGATATCTGCTCAGCATTCATCTGAATACTGGTTCTACTTGGATGAAATAAGTTGTGCTGTAAGAGCCAGTCCATGGCCCAGAGTTGCCAATGGAGTAGTTGAAGATGAGGAAAAGAGCTTTGAAAACATTTCTTTTTATTGTACTATTTTGCAGGATTTAAAAGGAGGCACTTTTGGATTTTTTTGGAAGTTAGTCATAATATTTTTAATGAAAATATTTTAAATGAAAAAAATCTGTTAAACAAACAACATCTCTTTGTAAAGGTGTTCTTTCCTGGAAACAAAATTTCCAATTGTGACTGGGAAAAAAAAAAAAGCTATTATTTTAAAATAGTTAGAGATTTCTGATGTAAAAATTTTGATGTGGTAAAACATCACACTGTTCTTCTATGGAAACAGGTTTTTGTGTGTAAAATTTCTATCAAACCTAACTAGCAATATTAGACCTCCTCACACAAATGATTTGTTCTTTCCCCCTTGAACTGAGTGGGAAGGATTTAACCTGTCCAAAGGTATTAAAAATACCAAAGATAATTTGCATCCTTTCTTATCCTTGCTCTGGAAGGAATTTGAGAAGATGAGTGGAAGT